TCTCAGTGGCTATCACCAACTATAAGGGTTTTAGGGTTTGGGGTTTAGGGTTTAGGGTTTTAGGGCTTGGGGTTTAGGGTTTAGGGTTTAGGGTTATACCTTAAGGCTAAACCTAGCTCCTAAAACTCAATTCGCCTTGAACCCCCGCACCTCCGAAAATCGGGATCCGGGTGCCGGGAGGTGGATCTGGTGAAGAAGTGGGAGAATGGGTTCATCATGGATCCCTTTGCAACTGCCTTAGCTCTCGAGCGGCCGCAATAGAGTGAGAAAGTTGAAGTCCAGGACAGTATTTGTATGGGACTACGAGCAGTTTTGCTGCCCAAAATGTAGAAGCAATCGCAGTAAAGAAAACAATCAACAGTCGTCATGGGCAGAAGTCGTAGGACGAAGCTTCAGAGGAAAGATGAAACGACTATCACGAGAGTGTTGTACTAGACACATGAACACAAAGATGCCTCACAGATAGCCCATGTAAAATCTACTTTGCAACAACCCAGAGCCTGGATCCTGCAAGCATTACTTTATCAGATCAATACACATCCGAGATGTTATTGCCTGCTTTAACATTGGCCTGAGGTGCTCTCGCAGACACACACCGTTGCAGATGTGGACAACATTAGGCCAGGGATTGCGTCTGGTCAGGACATTCGCAGCTTTCGCCACGAGCAGGATGATATCGTGCGTTGTTGCTTGTCAGTTTGTACGTGTTGCTTCAGGCAAAAGCACGATGCCTCCACGGTCTGCATTACGGACATGGGGATGATGGGGAACAGGCGAGGACCTAATCCGAGCGGCTTTCAACTCCAAGCCACACAGTACGGTGTTCCCGGTGGTGATCATTAGGAAGCGGATGCAAATGGATGCGAACTTACCCTGACCGATGCGATGCCCGCAAACCTGCAACGGTGGCCGTGGTGGTGGTGGCGATGGCCATGACGAGGACGAGTGGATGAGCATGTTGGTGACGAGGGCTTGGGTGAACATGTCGGGATTAGTTTGCTGGTGGTCGTAAAGATGATGACGGCGATCGCTATCATGACGAGGGTCACCGATGAGAAACGCGCCAGAGCTGACACTGATGAAAACTGATGACAACGTCTGATTATGGTTGCTTGGAGAATGCTGGCCGTGGCATGGTGAAGGTGATGCTGCTGATGATGCTGCTGATTGTGGTGACAAAAGAAGAAGATGATGCTGATGGTGATGAGTCATGAAAGCAGGTTTGACTACCATGGTGATCTGGTAGAGCCTGATGCTTCTCGGCTGATGATAGCTGATGGCAGTAAATGTCGTGATGATGACGCCGATGGGGTGGTGATGATGCTGCTGATGATGATGCTGCTGACGATGATGAGGATGCGGATGAAGACAAGGACGAGGATGAGGAGGAGGAGGAGGAGGAAGTGGAGGATGACATGGCTGACAAGGTCATTCGGCTACGGTGGTGATTTCACGATGCTGATGATGAGCGTGACAATGGTAGTGGTGACGATGTTAATGTCGTTGATGTTTGAAGTGGTTTCGTTGATGTAGGAGTCGACGGGTGTTGCCCTCCACAGACAGGGGTGACCATAACTTATTCAATAACATGGCAATGGGGGGGTAGTTATCCACGGTTTCCTGATTTTCACGCAATGCTTCTTTCGCATGACATACGTCTCTGCAGCACATGGTTCCGCGCATGCGCATGGTTCAGAATTCACACTTCGGCAAGTATATGCTCCCGAGATTCAGGTAACGCTTCAAGATATTCATTCAAGTTCGCCGAACCGCTACAGTATTTACAGCTCAAGTCCAAGGCTCTTCTTTTTCACTCCGGTCCTCGATACCCTCACGTCCTTAACACCTAATTACGGTACGCCCAGAAGCCGCAAAGTCCCAGACGATTCCCATATGGGGGTTTCCGAAAATAAGGGTACCTTATGTCGGGGTCCTTATAATAAGGATCCTACTATTTAGGGTACTATATTAGGGTCCCCGATTTTCGGAAACCCCGATATTGACCTGCGCAAGGTTCCTTGGGATCGTGACAAGCCGTGACATCGACTTCATCGAGGACTTCGGCACTAGCTTTGGGGTTTTAGGGCCTGGGGTTAGGGTCAATTCCAAGCCTTGAGACCGCAAGGCCGTGAACTCCTTCAATTCTTCGGTCTCAGGGTTTAGGGTTTACCTGTAGTCTCCATTGTAGTTCCTTTTGGGGGATACCTTATAAAATCCTTAATACATAATTGGTTAAACCAAAAAAAGGAACCACAATGGAGACTACAGGTACCCTCAACTTCCTGTGGTGCCCCTGCATTGCCAGCTTCCTGGCAAAGCTCGCCCGCGGAACTCAAATCGAAAAGTCTGGCATGGCCGCCCTGTCCTGACCCGATTTGGGACTTTCCGAAAATAAGGGTACCTTATTTTGGGGTCCTTATAATAGGGATCCTATTATTTAGGGTACTATCTTAGGGTCCCCTATTTTCGGAAACCCCCATTTGGGGCACCAACAAGAGGATTGAGCAGTTGGAAATAGCACCCTCTTTTAGTCCCTCTATGTAAGTAGCTGCAAAGATAATGACGGATAGCGCACCCCCCAAACCCCTTATGGGGGCTGAGTCTCCATGAGTCTCTGGTTTTTGGAATACGACTTGGAGTGTAGGCTTTACGGAACAAGTAAGGTTGAGGGTCAGGGGACGTAGTAAGTCAACCATAAAGCAGGTGATATGTAGAGCTGGATGATCAGGCTGATTGTTGCGGTACTTGCAGGACGAGCTGAGTTTAGAAGTATAAGCATCATTTCGGCGAGGAGTGTGTATATTGTTGTTGCACCCACATATTACTGTATTTGCCTTACGCCCTACGTTTCAAGCCACTGATCCTTGATGCAATTGCCAACCCGAGCCGCCTCCACGCAGCCAAATTCAGCCCGGAATCGCCAAATACAAGTCCGTTCCGCAGAAGGTACCCGTTCACGATTGAGGGTATAAGGCTACCAGAAGGGTTTTACTAGTGGAGGGTCTATGGCTTGAAGCTTGCAAGACGGCATACTTCGGCAAAGCCAGCCAAACCCTAAACCGTAAATAATTACCAATACTATTTCTGGGGCTCCTTATTATATATATATATATATATATGTTATATATATATATATACACATACAGATGTATATATCAGTATAGTATAACCTACCCCCAAAGAATTCGAAGACACGGCCGCCATCCTGACCCTAACCTCTCCCTCTGCCCTAATCTAGAAGCTTCACCTGAACCTGTCACGAGTTGCCTCGCAGGTCTTGCGAAGATCACTCAATCACTGCACAGAATTGTGGATTTATAGGTAAGTTCTAGTTTCACTCGAAGGCAGCAATGACTGCAAGAAACGCGTGAACGACCGACCGACGTCCGATAATCAATTTTGCTTCTTGGGTGTGTGTTTTCACCAATCCTGTTCTACGACAACATGGGAGTTTCCGAAAATAAGGGTACCTTACTTTGGGGTCCTTATAATAAGGGTCCTATCATTTACGGTACTAAATTAGGGTCCCCTATTTTCAGAAACCCCCACATACCTCAAAGCCTTCTTCCAAGTGTGAAGGCCGAAACCTGTCCGCAAGCTTCACACCCTGTCCTGTGACCTCCAGGACCGAAGTACCAGGCTGTCAGCAGTCATGACGCCAAAGGCGGCATCGGCGGGGTTTAGGCTTTAGGGTTTAGGGGCAGCGTTCGGACAGTTAGGGCTTCGGAGGTTTAAATGGCAATCAAGGGGCTAAAGGAGGGACCCTTAAAGGGACCCTTGGGGTTATATAGGGGCCTTATGAGACTATATAAGGGGTATATAAGGGTTATATAGGGGTATTAGTATTGTCCCTTAAGGCAAGCCTGAGTGCATCAGTGTTTCCGTTGATGCAAGTGGCATTTAAAGGCATGAGCCCCTGGAGTTCGAGCTTTGTGTCTTGGGCCGAGCGAAGGCCCAGAAGCTCGTACCCCGCACCTTCGGGAGTGTAGCTGTGTACCTGGTCGTCAATGGCTCTGTATAGCCAGGTAGGTTCCCAAATAATTGGACAAGATATTGAACCCTGAAGTAACGTTTGAAGATCGTTTAGATAATTCTCTCGGATATGGTAGGACGAATCATCCACCAACCCAGGCCCTGAGGCCAGATTTATTACCAAAGCCTCAACTCTGAAAGCCTAAACCCCAAACCCTGATCCCTCCCCTCACAGGACAGACAACAACAGGGACCTAATCTCTGAAACCTAATTCCCTAGAACCTCGTAGACCCTGTTTTAACGCCATAAAGCCAATTGTAAAGTGTAAATCCCTAAATTCCAAAGCCCCCAAAAACCCTAAACTCCCTAAACCTTGAACCCTAAACCCCTAAACCCTAAATCCTTAAACCCCTAAACCCTAAACCCGAAACCCCAAGAACCCTAGACACCCTGAATCCCAAAAGCCGTCGCAGGCGCAGTGCCTGACAGCCTCAGAGCCGATCTCCCTTGGGGAGGCGGGGCCCGCGAAGCCAACAGACGGTTGCCGAACCTGCTGGGGTTTAGGGTTTAGGGCTTTGCTTGTGGGGGACGGGGGGGGGGAAGGAGGTTGGCGAGGTGGGCGATTCGAGTTTCTCGGTTGTTGTCGGGGGCGGGGATGGGTGCTGGGGGTCAGTAGTTTGGTGGCAGCAGGAGCAGCAGCACCAGAACCAGCACCAGCAGCACGCAACAGCACAACACAGCGATTTGTTGTTGGCATGGTCCTAGTTTTTTTTGCTACCGTTGTTGCATGGCCTCCTTTCGCTGCTTTATGTAGTGTGCACTTGAATCACAGTGCGCCGTCTGTCTGTTCATCCGAAGGGAAACTGTTGCCATTGCAGGGACCCAAGAGCACCCACCACCAAGTCAGATCATCAACCAAAGCACCAAGACTGAGCCCTAAACCCTAAACCCTAAACCCCTAAACCCCTAAACCCCTAAACCCTAAACCCTTAAACCCTAAACCCTAAACTTCGGTGAGGCACTCGAAAAGCTCGTCCAAAGCAAGAAGGGCAAGCTGCCCATCTTGAACGAGGCAGGAAGTTTGTTCTGATGCCCCCTAGGACTTCGCACGGACAAGAGGCGAATCCTTACGTACCCCTCATCCCTCCACCCGTAAACCCTAACCTCCAGGCTAACCTCCAACCTTGGTGTTGGGGCTTCGAGATGGAGAGTTTCTCGATAGTTAGCTTCAGAGTGTCGGAAAGTTCAGCCCGCGGCCTAAACACAGAGCCCCATCCCGCCACACTTACAGCTGCTGGCCTGAACTACGTAATGTAGGGCCTTAGTAATTAGAATTGCGTTTTGGGTAAGATAAAACTATATTCAGGCACCCTGAGAAATAGCATCGTGAGTTTTTCAGACCCCTACACTACTCAGCATATCACAGTACGACGAGCATGGTCATTCGTTTCCCCTGCCTGAGGCATTAACATCTTGGCCGAACATAGTGTAGCCAGCTAACGCATCTATCCCCGTCAAGAAGACAGTAGAAGGATTCCGGGTCAAATCCCCGAGGTAGCAAGGTTTGCTGACGAAGAGTTTCCATTGCTAAGCCTATTCCAGGGCCAGGGTGTGAGATGCGAAGTGTCTGTGTGTATATATACATATATATATATATATATATAGCATTGTCGTCCCTTTTAGTATCACTGTTGCCGTTTGCCGGTTCGTTTGTACTCATACGACAGAGACCATCGTAGACTTCACGCTCCTAGATGTCGGCACTTGGGTACCACTCCACCCCAACTCTTAACCGAACCCCTAAACCCTTAAACCCTACACCCCTAAACCATTAACCCTGATTCCTAGCCCTGTCAAGTTGATAGTCCCAAATCTTAAAACCCAAGCCGCCCTGAAACCTCTTCAATCCCGTACCCTAACTAGCCGCAGCCATGAACCCGAAACTTTTGTTCAAATCCCAAGCCCAACACCACCAAGAGGTTTGCAACCATAAACTCTAAAACGTTTTCGCGAAGGTTACATGTAGACACCTGATTAGTACGTCCCCAGCTCTGTACATTCACTTAGTTCCTCAATGCCTAGCCTTTAACCTCTATAGGTTCCTAGAGTTGAAACTGGTGTTTTTCATATGAATGTATTGCTTTTGATTTCCTTGGGCCATTCCGTGGGTGAATGAGGACCTAAACCCCAAGCCAGAATCTCAGTGGGTATCTTAAGCCAGGACGGCGAGCTGGTGGCTCTTGTGACAAGATCCGACCTAAAAAAGGCGGGCCACGAGAAACTGCAAGTGAGAGAGAGATGGGATGGACAATGGCAGTTGCGGTACTAGCAGCCGTATCAAGTGTAAAGATGTGTAAAGGTCAGTAATGGTGAGAAGCAGAGCAGCACAGGGCAGTGACCATTAAGTTTTTAAATCATCATTCGTGCCTTTTCAGCTGTTGTGCATGTTGCTATTTCTATTCTTTACAAAACCGGAGAACTGCTGACATTCGCACCGTTTGTTGTGAGACCGGCGCTTCATGTTTTCTTCCTACCACCAGCAATGACGAAGTAGCAAGCTTGTCGCGGTGACAAATGGGGGTGCTAGCATATCTAGCATACACTTAGGGTAAGAAAGATACATGTTGAGCCGAACGAACAGAATGCCAATTGCAACAGCTGGTGGCAGTAACCACGGCAGCAATGATGATGATGGTGGTGGTGATGATGGTGGTGATGTGACGGTGATGATGATGATGATGATGATGATGATGACGATGATGATGAGAGTGATGGTGGTGGTGGTGATGATGACCACAGGAGTCGCTTGCGTTGATAACGTTTTCAACCCTACAAAACAGCAGTATGTTGGCAGGGGCACCAAGAGCAAGAACCAAACCAGCAGACGAGAAGAGCGAGACCCTAAACCCTAAATCTGTTGTGCATGTTGCTTTTTCTTCTATTCTTGTCAAAACCGGTGCTGACATTCGAACCGTTTGTTGTGAGACCGGCGCCCGGCGCTTCAAGTTTGCTTCCTACCATCAGCAATGACGAAGTAGCAAGCTTGTCGCGGTGACAAATGGGGGTGCTAGCATATCTAGCATACACTTAGGGTAGGAAAGATACATGTTGAACCGAACAAACAGAGTGCCAATTGCAACAGCTGCTTTCATTAACGACGGCAGCAATGATGATAATAGTGATAGTGATGATGTTGATGATGATGATTATGGTGATGTGACGGTGATGGTGATGGTGATGATGGTGGTGGTGATGATGACCACAGGAGTCGCTTGCGTTGATAGTGTTTCCAATCCTACAAAGCAGCAGTATGTTGGCAGGGGCACCAGGACCAAGAACCAAACCAGCAGACGAGAAGAGCGAGACCCTAAACCCTAAACCCTAAACAGCCTAAACCCTAAACCCTAAACCCCTAAACCCTAAACCTAGTTGCAAAGTCGAAATCCTAGACTAAAGCCTTGATGCACAAACCGGTAACCCGAAGGTCGTGCACTGAAGCATCATGCTAGTATGCTTACTACTGTTGATGGACAAAATCCTGCATGCCCCAGATATAGTATAGTACCATAAATCCCATAGTTTAGGTATACAAGGTCATGCAGGATTTTGTCCCTCAACCGTAGGACCCGGAGTAGGCCCTTATTTCTTGTTTTTAGGGTTGGGGCTCCCTTATAATCCCCTTAAAACCAAAAAGGGCATCCTTTTCATTCCTAGGTTACTCCTGGGTCTAGCTTACTTCTGTTGGGACCTCATAGTTCCTGGGAAGGAACCCTAGAGCTTATACCCTGAAATCTAGACCCTAAACTCTAAGTCCTAAAATCCCTAAGCCCTGAAGCCTGAGCCCTAAACCCTATACGCTGAAAAAACCCTAAGCCCTGAAGCTATACAGCCCACAGCCCTACAGAAACCCTAGACCCTACGTCCTAAACTCTAAGCACTGGTGCAGCATCCTGAAACTCCACAGTTCAAAACAAAATCCCTAATGGAGGGGCCGGTTAGGTTCTGCGGTGTCTAAAGGGGTTTGGGGGTTCAGGGTTTAGGGTTTGGGGGTTTGGGGTTTAGGGTTTAGGGGTTTAGGGTTTAGGGAGAAAGTACGGGTGTTCCCAAATGGCCCCTGTACACTTATACGATAATATGCACCCACACCCTATCCTGATTACTAAGGCCCCTATATTCACCGAAGGACTATCTACTGTAAAGGGTCAGGGCATGAATGATGTAGCTACCAGTCAGACAAAGTACTGATAGCACCTATAAACCCAAGTTACAGCTCGTGTGGCCGGACCTATGACTGCACATAAACCCCGATCGGACGCTACAGAAATCTCATAGTGGTAGAAGATCAATACAAACCTTCTAAACCCCGGAACTATCCATGAACCTCCAAGTACACCCAAAGCACACACATACACACACGCTGGAGGTCAAGAACTTCCCAAATGCTGCGATGGCCCTGCCCCCGGAGACAGATACGGTGGATTGCGAAATTTGTACGGTTTGGCAGTTTAGGGTCGCCGGCACAAGATGGAGGAGTGTTTAGTGATTTAGCACTCGAGCGCGCCGCTTCGACTGCCTTCGTCTTCGAAGATTTCTTTCCAAGGAGATCTGCGATTAAACGTGTAACTACCCCAAACCGTGAGCTCTTAATCCATAAAGCATTATTCCGGTTTCGAAGGGCGTGTCTCAGACTTGTTTGCAGGGTTTGCCTGAACCTTAAACCCGAAGCCCTCAAACCCCACAAGGGCGTCCTTGGGTTCTAGTGGCTCTTGAAGAATGCTGGTGAGGTCTTCTAGCGCTTTTGCATTAGAGTTGAAAGTTTATTGGGTTTGGGGCTTGTAGGGCTTATATAGAGTTTAGGGCTTATGGACTGGGGAGTTAGGGTCTAGGGTATCGTAGTGTTTTTGGGTTTAGGGTTTAGGGTTTAAGGTTTAGGGTTTAGGGTTTAGGGTTTAGGGTTTAGGTTAGTGTTTTTGACTAATCATCAATTTGTTGTACAGGATTGCAACGTTTGTAAACCTAAGCCCTCGACCCTGCACCGAATACCCTAAACCTTAAACCCTAAACCCCAATGGACAGGGCTGTGGTTTCCTAATGTAGGGGCCTGAGCCAGTCCAAAATCCATTTTATCATACTGCTCCTTAGTATCATTCTACCGCTGCTCCCTATTCTAATGATTAAGGGCCCCATATCAGAGTAGTATAAACTACTATAAACTAGTACCAGGACCCCCCAACTGCCCCTTGTTAGAGCCCCTATGGTCCGTAATAGTGGGTATTCAGGATATAGTAGAGGGTAGTTGGGGGGGTCTAGGTAAAGCCCCAACCTTATTTCCCAACTATAATGGAGACCTAAAAAGGGACCCTAATTTTAGTGAGAACTACCCATATCAAAGTAGTATAAATTACTAAAGCCCCAACCTTACTTCCCAGCGGTCCCAGGATGCGAACCGGCAGCTGCTGGTGGGCGCTGCTGTGGCGCCGAAGGCTTCGGTATGGGCAATTGCTAGGGTTTCGGGAATAGCTAGTCGGAAGGTACCCAGATATAGTCCTTATTCAACGCGTGTGTGTACATATATATATATATATACACACACACACATAGTATATATATATATATATATATATATGTGTGTGTGTGTGTGTACATAATATGTATTCCCCGAAATTCCACTGTATTGATTCAGGCTCCTACATAAGAGGTGGAGTGGGGTCCTGCCAGACCTAGGAGTTCATTGCATTCTGCTCTGTAAACATGGCTTACTTGAGGTTAAATTGTGGTTTGGGTTCCAGGGTTGCGCTAAATAAACCCTAAACCTAAACCGTTTTCGGCTGACGGGTTTTATAGATGCTGCCATCACACTTCGTTGCGAGAAAGTCCTTGGTGCTTTACGGGTTTAGGGTTTGGGTTCAGGGCGAGGTTTGCCTGATACGTGCTTTCCCACTATCCAGCTTGCACACCCCAGTTGGTCATCAAAAGCTGATTGAAGCTTGAGACTGAGAACCCTTAAATTCGTAAATCACCGGTATTATCGAACCCTCATAGAATCTTAGAGCCCTCATAGAGCCCATATTATTGAGCGCGTATAGAACCCTTATAGAAACTTGAAAACCCTAAACCCTCAGCCCTAAGTCCGAGTGCATCAACACAAGAACCCCGCCAGCCCTTTTGGAGCTTTCCGACCACATTCAGGGTTTTGAGTTTGGGGGTTTCGGGTTTAGGGTTTCGGGTTTAGGGTTTAGGGCTTCGAGTTTAGGGTTTAGAGTTGGGGGTTTCGGGTTCCTGCAATGGCTGCACGATGGAGTGGAGGACACATCACAATGGGCACACACGGGCGTGATCGTCATGTTCGCAACTTCCCTCAGCCAAAATCAATGTCCAGATTGCTGAAAAGGCGTTTGCCTGGCGCGTCGTGCTGAGGAAGTTGAAGCTGCTGTTCCAACTGTGGAAGCATTGGGGAGGTACCTGAGCAAGGGGTGCTTTTGATATGGACCCTAGGTCCATAGGGGTTCAACTATAAACCCCTAAACTCGCGAACTCTAAAGCCCCGAAGGGGCTAAATCCCTAAACCCTAAGCCCCAAAGGGACTAAATCGGGGTTTCTTTTCCGGAAGCTCCCAAATCTATCGAAGGCTGCAGAGTTGGAGCGCGTCCGCTGCCTGGTGGAGGATCGGAGCGAGGGTTCCGGAAAGTGGTGTTTGAATGGCTTTTTCGCAGTTGGGCTTCTGCTCTAAACTATCGTTGCAGTCTTCATCATCATAACGCGTGATCACCACAACCAACTCAACCCTATATGTCAAAGAACCGCAATACCCATAGCGATGCTGACAGTTCTCTGAAAAAACTGGCAGCAGCCGCCGTCAATTCTGCTGATGCTGGAGTTGCGCTTGCAGTCCTGTGCACCAAAACCTAAAAATCACAAGCCTGGAGCCTTAAATCTTCAACCCAAGCGCTTGCAAAAAACCCTTGAAGCCTCGAAGCCAAAACTCCCCGAAATTCCCCTAAATATAAGGGCCTTAATAATAAACTGTACTATTTTGGGGGCTCCTTATTATAAGTATAGTATACTGGGCCCCAAAACCCTACTCTAATTATTACGGCCCCTGCATTACACAACCCCTGAACGAACCCACAGACCCTGCTTGAACTCTGAACTCTTATGGGTCGTTCTCTAAATTGGGGTCCCTTCTAGGGTCCTTTTTATAGTGCCGTACTATAGTTGGGATCTTAATTTGGAGCTTGAACTACCCTTATACACCACCATAATCCCCATAACGGCCCTAACCCTGAACTGTGATAGCCCTGAGAAAGTCCGGAAGATCGGCCTCGTCCTTGGTATGGGCGATACCCTCATTCCGTGCCGCAGGCTGGAATGGACGTCCTTTTCCTGGAGGCGCAGCTGTCCGAACACAGACTGCCAGAGCAGAAGAGCTCGGGCTTCTTGCGTTGTCAGGACTTTGCACGATTTCTTGATAGGTTTACCTGGGTCTTCGAGTGGCTTGTCATCATTTGCTTAGGGGTCTTGTCAGGTTGTACAAAGGGTTGAGGGTTTAAGGTTTAGGTGTACGTTGCTAGCTGGCATTCGTTGGCTAGGAGCGGCATCCAGCCAAATGCGTTTGTGGGTTTGTCATTTTCCGGCCTGCTGTCTTGGCCCTGATTTCGTCTCAACCTATCTTGGCCGGTGGTTGGGACAGCAGTCATCTGCAGTCAGAAAACACAACGTAATATAGGGCCCTAAACCCTGGCAGGCCGGCCGTGGCTCCATCGCAGAGCAAGCCGACTTCATCAGAAAGGCGCTTCTCTCAGCTCCATCAGGGTTTAGGGTCAGCCTCCGCCTGTTTATTTTTCTAGGGGCCTAAATGATTACCGATACTATTTTGGGGGCTCCTTATTATATAAGTATAGTATAAAGGGCCCCAAAGCCCTATTCTAACTACTGAGGCCCTCAGATTATCCTCATCAGGGGTGTGCTCACTGAGATCGGAAATCCCACTCAAACCCTCCCCTAAACCCCGAAACCTTAAACCCCTAAACCCTAAACCTTAAACCTCTGAAGCCTACTCCCCCAAGCCCTAAGACGGACTCCGAAGCCATGAAACCCACATCTTGGACAAGCTCAGAACTTACGGCCCATGAATTAAGCACCTTTTTGTATTTTTATTACTACTACTATTTTTTTGCTATTCTTATTACTACTACTACTACTACTACTACTACTATTGTTCTTAGTATTATTATTGTTATGTTATGTTGAAGTATGCACGGCGCTGGCCCTACCTAAAGCTCAGGGGTTCAGGTTTTGGATTTAGGGGCCCAAGTTCTGGGACATCGGTTGCTGGGTAGTTTTTGTTGCCGCGCTCCTAGGTGAAACAGCAGTTTCCGTCGTTGGACGTCGTCGCCGGGAACGTGGTCACACCAAAGCAGGCTTCGACCTCGCAGTGAGTGGCGTGGGGGGGATTACGGGGACCCCACTTGGAGCTTCATGGGTGGTTATAATTCGGTTTATAAGTAGGGCAACTAGTTTTAAGCTCTGTTTAATTGCCCATACTAAATTACACCTCAAAGTAGGGGACTAGCATTTTGGAGTTCCGGATATGGGACTGGGAGTTGGATTTGGGCCGTAACCCGGACGCCTGTCACTCTCAGCGCTTGTCAGACTTGTGCAGGCTTCCTAGAGTACGCCGAGACTCAAGTCGTCATGACTCGTGAACAACTGCGGTTAAGGGTTTAGGGTTCTCGTTCATGGATTTCGGTTCCTGAACTCCCTAAAGAGGTCTATCATCGATTGGACGCAAGTCGTGCCTACAGAATGTTTCCCAAGCAGAATCCATTCACTATTCGGTTCCGATATCGGTTCCGTTCTACAAGGAGGACAATGACAGCAATTCAAAGGGCTCGAATCTTGCCCCACCCCAAACCCGAAACCCTCAGCCCTGAACCCTAAACCCCAAACCCCTGAACCCCAACCCCAACTTCTGCTGGCGGCCCTACCGCTCAAAGGCCAGAGGAACAGGCCCCGTTTCTGAGAAGTGCACGGCAAGATGGTTTAAAGTATTGCCGAAGGCAAGAAGAACAGTGAACCATCAGAAACCTAGAGTATATGTATATCTATATATATATATATATATGTATATATATATACACACATACATCTAGAGCTTACCCGAAGCATCAACTCCTCAAACAAATGCGCATCAGAATCGAATATAGGAGCTTTAGTAATTAGAATGTGGTTTCGGGTTATTGTATTATTATTCTGTACTTGTAATTAGGAACACTGAGGAATAATGTAGGTGACTATTCTGGCTTCTACATTATGACTCTTTCCGCAGACCCCCTCCAAAACAGTCAACAGCTCTCCCACTGCTTCCTACTCGGTCCTACCCTAACCCCAAACCCAATCCAAAGGTTAGGGTGCAGGGTCTTCGGGTTTAGGGTTGAGGGGTTCAAGAAGCAGGTGAATAATATAGGGGCCTCAACAGTTACCTATACTATACTATTTTTTTTGTGGGGGGGGGGGGGG